GCTATATGGGTTATGTAGTGTTGCAATAGCTTGATGGGTAATGTAGTGTTGGGTAACGTATTGTTGCAATAGGATAAGAAACCCTCTTATTTGAAGAAACCTGCTTTGGGGATTTGTAATTTGTATACCTATTAAGTCAGTTACAGTTTTAGAAACGGCAACAAAAGCTTGACAAGCTGGAACACCATAAACGGAAACTACAAAACCAAATAAACAAAACCTGACCACGAATAAGAGCTTCAGCTGCCAGAGAACATGACACGATAACAACAAACACCTGACGATGACTGTGGGAAACTAGTGTAGAGTATGAACGGTGTGGCAGAACTGATTAGTGACCGACTGCAGATGTGACAATCAAGACGAGATTCATACAAACTGAATAGATCTAGATTTAAACCAATAACCCCAAAAAGAAACCAGAAGAAAAAACAGCAAGAATGCACCAATCAAAACTATGCACCCCAACAATGTGTTTATTATATCGAGTAAATGTTACTTACAGCGGTTTAAATGTGGCTACGCAGTCCATGTTAGGTTTTAGACATTTTAGGATGTTTTAGCCCTTGATTGGATCTTCATGCTATCTGTATCTCTGAAGAACAACTTCACAGAGACCCTGTTCCGCTACGACGACGACGGATACCAGTCCTACTGCACCATCTGCTGCTATGGAATGGAGGTCGTGCTGTGTGGGAACGATAGCTGCTGCAGGTTGGTCCAGTCATGTCTGTATGTAAATGCCCGTCATGTCATTTAAAACGTTCAGAAGATGATCCTGGTTACTGTCCACCTGCAGATCCTATTGTGAAGACTGTCTAAACATCCTCGTTGGTCCGGGAACATTTGATACCCTGAAGCTTTTGGACCCGTGGATCTGCTACCTGTGTCAGCCTCACACACCCTGCGGCGCTTTGGTTCCCCGGGAGGACTGGAGCATCCGCGTCCAGGAGTTATTTGCAAATAACAGCGCCATGGCGTTTGTGAGTTCTCAGCTAACTTGAGCCATTTTGATAATGGTAAAATGGTCAGTTTTTTTGCTATAAAGTAAGTTTTGCTATAAAATGTTTGTAACTGAACAAATAACAAGTGAACAAATAACTTAGTCCAGTTTTTGTTACCTAATAGCTGATATTTAAATCTTTTGTTCACTCCTTGGCCAAACAACATGAATATAATTATTGGATAAAATGTCCTATTGCTCTTTTGATACATGACCGGTTATGGCGCATTCCCAACACTTCCCACCCAGCCGGGGTTCCATAGGTTCAGGCTTACAGGGAGTCACATGATCAGATAGTGACTCAGTCAGGTAAACCACACTGATTTTAGAAAGGGGCAACAGCGGATGTCCGATTTGATTATTTCTGTGATCATAAACATTGTCAATGCCTAATAAACAAACCAACACTGCAGTCTATTTCCGAGGTTTGATAAAAAAACGCTATTAGTGCCCTTGCTAGCATAGCTTCTAAAAAAACTAATACACTAACATACCGTATTTTATAATACAGCTTGACGTAAATTTTGTAAACATAATTAAAGAAAAAAAGTTGAACTACCCATCTAAACATAACAGTATAGGCCAACATGAGGTTGCACTTTAAAGACATGACATCTTTAATTTCTACAAATGGGGATATTTGGCTATGATCAAGTTGACCAGGCTGGTATAAGATTCCCACCTGGCAGAATTTTTTTTGTTTTCTTTTCTTTTTTCAAAGTTAGTATGCTGCTCCAATATGTCGGAGGCCCGTCTTTCCTGACCCGTTCAATCCTCCAAAGGCCTTTCTCTGAGGTCGTGTGGCCAAGCTATTAGGCCTGGATGCAGCCTATGTTGTTAGCTCGGGTTCTCGGCCTCACCACTGGTAAATGTGGATTCAGCTTTTTTTTTTATTTTTTTTTTTTCCTTGCCATTCATTCGAAAATATCCAGCCTAATGTGAGAGATATTTACAGGCATGCACCCCCCATTCATGCTTCGGTCCCCACAAACATTTCTGATCTGGACACGTTCCAACGCACCTACGGAACTAGTTTGGAGCCCAAAATCGTGACTGTAACAGAAGAAGTTGTAGAATAACTACATGCCTATGGCATGGTCCCCCTTGGCATCCTAGCTGTTCGCAGAAAGGCTCACCATTGGACAGGAAACATCGCTGTGGTTTATGGAATAGGTTGGACCCTCACTTATAGGGCGATCATTACCTGAAGTGCTCCAATTACCACTGGTACCTTGTTTGGTTGGGATAGATGTATCACCACATCTATCTCTGCTTTATTGTGTGGACCGTTGACCACGACATTGGCCGATTGGCCAGGCATCACCTGCTTGTCTTATATCTTAACTCAGTTTGGGAGTCGGTGTCCTTACTGATACCTCGCAGTGGTCTGAATGAAAGACATTTCTTAGAGACTGTGTCTAGGTTCAAAATCAGTGTTTTTGCTGAAAACCTGATGTGTTTTGTTCTGGTTTTTTTGGGTCTGCTGACGTGTTTCAGGAGCCTCATCGTGTTTACCCATCCATCGCGCCCTGTCTCCGCCGGCCACTTCGAGTCCTCTCACTGTTTGATGGCATCGCCACAGGTGCAGAGTGCAGCTTTTCCTTCTTTATCGCTCTAAAACTATGCAGGGGGAAAAACCCCACCAATGCTTTTTTTTTTAAGCTAACAGCACTCGCTTTGCTTTGCCTCTCCTCAGGCTACCTGGTGCTGAAGGATCTCGGCTTCAAAGTTGACAAATACGTGGCCTCGGAGGTCTGCGAGGCTTCCGTTTCCGTTGGGACCATCAACCACGATGGGAGGATCTTCCACGTCGGCGATGTCCGATTTATCACCAAGGAACGCGTAGGTTTACACTCCCCCCTTTTCCTGTTTAGTTCTGATGATAAACCAAAATGTTTAAGCACAATAACCCTAAATAGTGGGGTCAGAAGAGGAGCAATAGATTGATTAGATTTGATAGATTCGACATTATAGATAAAGATGTATTTCTTTAATGGTGGAGTCTGTGTTTATAGGCTGTTTTTGAACATCAGGTTCAGCAAACTGAATCTGAAGTTGAAGGAAACTGAATATATTGCAGTACCCACTACTCTAGTGGAAAAGATGGAGGAGGCAATTGAAATTGGTTTTGGTAGATTCAAAATCCGATCACCCAAAAGTTTAATCTTGCACAAGTCTGTGAGAACAGCCGGAAACTCTCTGGGACCTAATAACAGAGAAAGAGAAACTGTCAGAAAAGTAGATACAAACAATAAAAGCAAGAATAGAAGCTGGAGGAAAAGCAGAAAATATGGTTTAAGAGTTACTGAGTGTGAAAAGTGACTCTTTATCCACCAACTTAACTAGATAATAACGACTGGTTAGTAAATTAAAGTCCTCAAATTGTAGGATTGCTGCCTAAAAACACAAGGTTGATGAAGTGATGATACCAGCACCACCAGCTTCATCTCATTTAGTTCCCACAGCTGAATCCACATCTGTAAATAAACTGTTCTGTTGGATTGTGCAGATTGAGGAGTGGGGGCCGTTCGATTTGCTGATCGGTGGCAGCCCCTGTAACGACCTCACCATCGTAAATCCAAGCAGGAAAGGCCTCTATGGTACGACGGCACGCCGC